TGCTTGCGGCGGGGGCCCACCAACCCCCCCCCAGCCAGCCGCGGCGGATGGAGACGTGTCCCTTCGGATGAGACCCCGGCGTCTGCGAGGTCCTCTCAATGCTCCGGGATTCCTAATTGTCGGGCATGGGGACTGCGGAGCCTCACACAGGCTAACTACAGATCTCTCCAGCTGGGGAGGCCCCACAATCGAGGATGGAGCTAATGCCCACTCCGACACCGACTCCTTGCACAGCCTTGGGCAAGTCACATATTTTCCCAGTGCCTCAATTTCCCCCTGAAAAACAGGGATCGTAATACTTCCCTTGCCTTTGGAACACACTTTGCCATTGACCAAGGGAGCTCTACAGGCTAGGCTAGATGCCCATTGGCTTTATAGCGGCTCCCACACTAAGTTCCAAAGGGCCCAGGTTCAAATCTGCCTGGTGCCGGTGACATGCACTCAGTGTTATCAAGATCCACGTTTCCTACAAGAACTTGTTCAAGGGAAAGGAGGGAGAGATGTAGGTGTCTCCCCCTGGACTTTCTCCTAGTACTTCCTCCTGGGGGGCTAGCCAGCTCATGCAAAAGGTTCCTTACAGCAGCCCCCTTCCATCTGCTAGGCCAGAATGATGCTTCCACCCTTGGCTAGTAACATGCTTGCCCGTTCCCTGTGGTGCGTGCACCATGGACCCAAGCCCATCCCACTAGTGACCATGCAAACTCCTGCACCCCAAGGTCCACCCTGCTGCCCGAGGGTTTGCCGGCCACGGCCAGGAGACATAACGGGGTCGGAGCTCCGTGGGGATCTGAACACTCACCAAGCTGTTGGAGGTTTTCCTGGACAGACACGATCTTCTTCTCATAGTAAGTCTGGGCTGAGTTGATGTCATCGGCAATAGAATTGACCTTCTTAAAAACTATGGGAAGAGAGAGATGGGAACATGGGGGGTATCTGTGCTTTCAGCTCTTCCAGGTAAACCAAGGCAACACAGGTGAGTTGGTTTTAGCATTAGCAGATGTTTAGGGGCCAGATCCCAGCTGGTAGAAAATGTGACGATCCAGGGAACTCAATGGTGATAGATCACTATCTGGTGTAAATAAGTTGAACTCCACTGAAATCAACGGGGTCAAATGCCCAGGTGGCACAAACTTACACCAGCTAAGGGTCTGACCCTTAATCTTTTAAATACTTAAGAAATGGAAGAACGGGGAAGTTGACAATAAAGAAAATAAATCAGAAGGTAGGAATTGTAGAAAAATGATAAGGGATGCCAAGGGACTCATGGAGAAATGCAGGGCCAGCAGAGTTAAGAACAATAAGGAGTTTTTGAAGTATAATAGTACAGGCCATTCTTGCTGTAAGTCCAAGACACATTCCAAAAAACTTGGACTTATAGCGAAACAGACCCGCTCCTCTTTTGCAGAAGGGAAGGTTACGGTCCATGAGCTGTCCTCATCCTGGGCAGCTGCCCGGCGCCAGGGTAGATGACACGGGGCTGATGGGGAAACTGTCAGGAGAGGCTCTGGGGTTACTGGGCGTAAACACAGCCCTGATGCTGGGTGCATTCATGTCCCGCTCCAGGAACAACGGAGAGTCTAGGGGTCCGTGATAGAGCCACGGGACAGACAACCCAGCCAGGTGGGAGATGGAGTTTGCCGAGTGTACGACGGGGATGCTAGGAGGGGAACAGGGAACCTGCCTCAACGACCCAGAAGGGCCCAGCCAGGCCTGCAGACCCGTCTCCCACCCTCAGGCCTGTGGACACGGATGGAGCTCTACGGCGAAGGGGGGTGAGTTTGATGCTGGCTCTCGGTTTGCCCCGTCCCTAGGTCTGAGATGAAACAACTGGTTTGTTCTAGGCCAGCCCTCGCTGGCACCCTGGCCCCTCACCGCCGTCTCTGGGCGACTCACAATCCTGAATCGATTTTAGCCCCACTTCTTTGCCCCTCCCTCTGCTAGGGTGGCCAGGCCCTGGCCCTCCAGGAGCCCGAGGAACGGGTCTGGCCTCAGCTCCGGGGTACCCAGGGATGGGAAAGCCCCTTTACCCCAGGGCAGGGCGAGGCCCTCACAGGGCGGACCAAGCCCTAGCCCAGAAAGAGCCATAGATAAGTCCTCCAAGAGGCTAGAGAGGCTCTGGAGGACCCGGCCAATCAGGGGCCAGGGAGGCCTACAAAAGGAGCCTCGATGCTCAGCAGCAGGCAGTGGGGGAGGTAGAGGACGAGGCTGGTGGAGGAAGGTGCCTTCTGGGGCCAAGGCCTACAAAAGGAGCCTCGATGCTCAGCAGCAGGCAGTGGGGGAGGTAGAGGACGAGGCTGGTGGAGGAGGGTGCCTTCAGGGGAAGCTCTGGAGGTGTTGCCCGCACCGGGTGGGGAAAGAGACTGAGGGGAAACGGAGAGGCAGGCGGGGGGGACCCAGCCGGGGCCGGTGCTCCCCGGGGA